ACAGAGATCTGCCTACTTCTGCCTCTGCTTCCTAAATGCTGGGACTAAAGGCGTACACCACCACAGCAGGCCTCACATCCCTTTCCTTCAAATGAGTCAGCTGGACCAAATGACCCATCAGAACTCCTCTTCCCTTCCAAAACTAAAAATGGTGGTGTTGATAATTGAATCCCGAATTCTAGGCCTTCTGCTAAATACATCCCTCCAACCCCAAACTAAGGACACGACACGGGAAAGGAAAACAATGAGACACACCTGGCAGACTAGAGAACAAAGAAGGGAAGGAGCCAAGCTCCTCCTGGGACCTGTCCCTAAAGACAGCCAGTTTTCTACTGTCCTATAGGCCAATCCATATTTATGTCTTTTTTTTTTTTTTAAGACAGAGTTCACTATGTATCCCCAACCAACCTAGAACTCAGAGATCCTCCTGTCTCTGCCTCTAGAGGGCTGAAATTAAAGAAGTGAGCTACCACACCCAACTTGGTTTTGTTTTTTGAAATAGGGGTTATTTATTTATTTGAGACAGGGTTTCTCCGTGTAGCCCTGGCTGTTCTGGAACTTGTTTTGGAGAGAAGGCTGGCCCCAAACTCAGAGATTTGCCTGCCTCTGCTGCCCGAGTGCTGGGACTAAAGGCACGCACCACCAGGACTTGCTGGGTGGGAGGTGGGGTTATGTATGGGGCTAGTCAGGAACTCACTGTGTAGTCAAGGTTGGCCTTAAATTTCTGCCCCTTTCCCCAGAGCTGGGGCATGTGTCCCATTCCTATGTCTTTGCTAATAGAAGTGTGTGTGTGTGGGGGGGTGTTTTTTGTTTTCCTTCTACTTTGTAGGAAGGAGTTACTCTGGCCTCACTAGTTTCACCCCTGGCTTCTGAGCACCCACTTCCTGTCCGGCTCCTCACTCTTCTCTTCAGTTTAACAGAAATCTGAGCTCAGTTTTGCTGAAGGAACTCTCTTTGGGGCTCCATCCGCTACCAGCCTTCTCTTCTTTGACAGGACTTAACTTTGCTTTTCTGTTGATTTTTCTGGCTCCACTTTCCAGGTCTCTACTCAGCCCCCAACCCTGGAGAAAGCACCATCACCCCCTGCTGACATGCCCACTTACCTTCTCCTTCTAGCTCTTCTCTCATCCCGTTTATAAGAAAAGGACTGGCAGGCTCGGGCTCGGGAGTGGACTTACCCAGGATAAGTGGCACAGCAAGGGCGGCTAAGAAGAGGACATCCATTCTGGATTCTGCACTGTCGCTGTGAAAGGAAATTGCTCTGTTTCCCACCACGCTTACCCCGCCTCCCACCCCTGCTGTGAAGCTGGGGGGGGGAGTGGTGATTCTTCTCCCAGGGGACAGAAATCCCCGCCTACTTTCTCAGTAGATCTGCTGGACTAAGGGGCAAGCCTCTTAGATGGATGGAAACTTGTTACTCCTGCAGAGTCCCTAGCTCTAGAGTAGGTCCACTCGGGGACTCCCTCTGCTGGGACCAAAGTTTATACTCTGCCCTCCTTCCCGAGGCTCACAGGTGTTCTCCCTCCTGGCAGCCCTTAACTTATCTTTGGCGTGCAGAGTTGCTCTTTACCCGTAATCTCTCCTCACAGGACGTTTTCTAGACAGTAAGTAAATGGTGCCTCTTCTCTGACTGCCTTTTCTATAGGGATGGAAGTGATGTTTATGAACCATTGTTTGACTCCCAAATCTCCTTAGCACTGCTGCTGATAAACATCTCATAGCTGTCAGGTCCAAAGGAAACTCCAATTTCCCAGCCTCCACAAGGCTGTTCATATATCCAGAAGTGAGCTGGCTCATCCTGGACTATTGGAGTATTTCTGGAAGTCAGATAAAAGCCAGCATTCCACAGGAACTCGTGAAACTGGTCCCCATCCGACAAATGGAGTCAGTTCCCTTTCCTCTGGCAGGAGGGATGGATTGCTACCGGTGACCTACCAGTTAACCAGATCCCATGCTGGCCCCATGGCACCTCAGTATCAGAAGTACCTGCTACACATCCTAGCTTTTCTCACCCCCTTCTCTCCACTATACCCCTCCGGTTCAGGGGCTCCCCACTCCCACAGCTGCTCGTTCTTTTTATAAACCCAACCCTTGTCACTATGCTTGGCTTTTGCTATTCTCATTATTCTTGCTCCATTCTCTACTTCCCACTAGTCTCCCTCATCTTGCAGAGAGCCCTGTCCTTGTCTAGTCTACTTTCTCTTCTCTGAAGTCTTCCAGATGCCTCCAGCTATTCCTCTTTCTAATAAAAACCTTAACCGCTGGCAGTTTCTGTACTGTATGCATACAATAGCCAAGGCCAGTTATTTCTCGCCATTTTGTGTTGACTTCACCCCTTTCCCCCAACTTTTTGGACACAGGATGGAAGAAGAGAGGAAGCAAACACCATCTTCTCCTCTGCTCCCACTTTCAGACACATGGCACCTTCCTCATCATTCTGTCTGCTCCTGTATTTCCTATTTTCATTCAGTTCAATTCAGAAGCAGTAGCGCATTTATTTGAAACAATAAACTATTAGTCTGTTAGGCAATTGAGACTTCACGGACAAGACACTGCCGGGCGTGGAGTCGTGGCCCTGTGATACCAGCATTTGGGAGGCAGAGCTCTGTGAGTTCGAGGCCAGCCTGGGATACAGAGTGAGTTCCTGGACAGTCAGGGCTGCATAGAGAGATCCTGTTTCAAGAAACCCAAACCAGCTGGGCGGTGGTGGCACACGCCTTTAATCCCAGCACTCGGGAGGCAGAGTCAGGCGGATCTCTGTGAGTTCGAGACCAGCCT